TTTCTTTACACATATATACAACCTGAACCTACGATGGAGGGGTCTTGCTTCTCCCATAGCCCAGCCTTGAATTCAAACAGATATCAAACATTGCTCTCTGACCCTCTGCTTGCTGTTTTGCTTCTAGCTCACAAAATTCCACACTTCAAACTCAGGCTTTATCTTTCTACGTACTGTGGTACCTTGGTTCTTGAACTTAATTCATTCCAGGAGTCCATTTGACTCCCGAAACATTCGAAAACCAAGGCACGGCTTCCGCTTGGCTGCAGGAGCTTCCTGCACTCAAATGGAAGCCGCGTCAGACATTCGGCTTCTGAAAAACATTTAGAAATTGGAACACTTACTTCTGGGTTTTCAGCATTCAGGAGCTGATTTGTGTGACAACTAAGCCGTTTGCAAACCAAGGTATGACTGTATTTGAGAGTTGGAGGAGGGGGCCCACCCATTTGCTGTCTGGCATAGAGTCCCATCTCTTAATGGTCCATCACCCCAGGCAGTCACCTTATCAGAGAGCTAGCCTGGCTTATATTTTAACATTTGCTGGGTCCAGGGGTTAAAAAAGTCTGGCCCACACAAACTCATAGCAGTACCCAGAGGTGCTGAATGTATGCTATAAAAAACCCCAGCCCCACAAAACCTAAACATCTTGGATCTGTAACAGAGCCTTTACGTGTTGCATAAAACATTTCATTTTAATAATGCACTTTCATTGTATATATTGTTACAGTGATAGCTTGACATCATTTATGTGAAGGAGTTTAGCTCTCCCTCTCATTAGGATAGATGTAATAGGACTTGGCCAAAACTAAGCACCCATTAAGAAGCATGACTGGAAATGAAATAATTCCTAATGTGATTCTCTTGCTTTCCAACAGATGTATAGTGAAATCTGCTTGATTAGCAAAATGGGATCAGATTTACATTAGCACCAAACTTCATCTTAGTTACGGAAGAATCATCACATCTGCAAACAAGTACAGACAGTAAGAAGGTTATCTAATCTTAAACAGAAGTGCTTGGACATAACCCTTAGAAAAATAGTGGGCAACCTCAGACTTAAGTACCAATGGTAGCCCTCCAAAATGGGAAGGGAAGGAAAAATGACCACCTCCTTGCATATCTACCATATATATGTAATAGGGAAATTACAGGGCACAATTCAAAGCATTGGTTATGACCTACAAAGGCCTATACAGCTTGGGTCCAGGCTATTGGAAGAATTGTATCTCCTTACATGAACTGGACTGGGCTTTGAAATCTTCTGAGGAGCCTTTCTCTTGGACCTTCACAGGGACATTGGGTGAGGTCATGACAGAAGACCTTCCTGGTGGCTGCTCCCAGATCATGGAACTCCTTTCCATGGGTGGTCAGAGTGGTCCCCTTCTTGCTTTCCTCTCACCAGCGGGCAAATAATTTTGTTCCAACAGGTCTTTGAACACTAAGGATTTTGTGTGTCCTTTTAAGCGTTTTCAGTACTATTTCAGTGTCATTTTTAAAAGATTCATATTTATTATGCGCCATTAGTTGTATTTGTTTCAATTTATGCTGTGAGCTGCTTTGGGGCCTACATTGGGAATATGAAATAATATATGTTATATCCAACAAATATTCTTGAATTTCAATCACAGCTGGAGAAAGGAATGGCCCAGGCCATTTTGTTTCCTAACTCAAAGGGCAAGTTGGCAGCGCTCCCCATTCCATGTAGAGAATTCAGCTGGTCTGGTTGCTGAATCTTTCTTCAACAGTGATGACTGGACAGAATTGTTGCATGTGACAACAGCAGGCTAATTTAGAAGGCACAGGCCAGGCCACATGGTGCTTGCAGATGGAAACAACCCAGGAAGTGGGACCTTCCACCCCATTTCCTATATGTGGTGTGAAGAAAGCAGGTGGAGGGAAGTTTTTCACCTTCCCTTATAACACTAGAACTGAATGTTGGAAGCTGAATGTTGGAAGATTCCAAAGAAAGCACTTCTTTGAACAGTGCATAAACTATGACATTTGCTTCCACAAGAGGCGGTGATGGCCACCAACTCACCTCAAAAGAGCATTATCTAAATTCATGGAGGAGAAGGCTACTAACTCAGATGGCCATGTTTTACCTCCTCTTCTCAATACCTGTTGCTGGAAACCACAGGAGGGGTGAGTGCTGTTGTACTCAGGTCCTGCTTATAGCATTCCCCAAAAGAGCTTGCAAGGGCATCAAACACATGTCAGGACACCCCGCACACGATGCCCCAACATGATGCATGTGATGTTAGGACATTGGGAAGAGCCTCAGGGTGGAGCCAAATGTGACGGCCATGTGACTCAATGGCTGGTAGTGCCTCCTCTTGAAGCTGCCACCAGCAGGAGACTGCTTTGGCCCTCCTTCCGCTCTGCAGCAGCAGCAGGAGAAGGAGCCAGCCACCAGAGCCATGCCACGCTAGTCTCCGTGCTTTGGCTCCATGCTTTTGGGACAGTGGGGGGCCTTCCCCCAAAATATAAAAAGTAAAGGTAAAGGGACCCCTGACCATTAGGTCCAGTCGTGACCGACTCTGGGGTTGCGGCGCTCATCTCGCTTTATTTGCCGAGGGAGCCAGCGCACAGCTTCCGGGTCATGTGGCCAGCATGACTAAGCCGCTTCTGGCGAACCAGAGCAGCTCACGGAAACGCCGTTTACCTTCCCGCCGGAGCGGTACCTATTTATCTACTTGCACTTTGACGTGCTTTCGAACTGCTAGGTTGGCAGGAGCAGGGACCGAGCAACGGGAGCTCACCCCGTCACGGGGATTCGAACCACTGACCTTCTGATCAGCAAGTCCTAGGCTCTGTGATTTAACCCACAGCGCCACCCGCGTTCCTCCCCCCAAAATATAGGAGGGCTCTAAAAGGGCCCACCCCCTATTCCCACAGGCATCTCGTTGTCCACTGTGAGAGCAGGATATTGGATTCCTTGGGCTACTAGACTAATCCAGCTGCGCTCTTATGTTCCTTCAGCATCTGCTGTCTGAGACCACTACTTTTGCCCAATGGTGAGGCTCTACTTGTTTGGAGAATATTCCCCTGAAAGGTTGTACAAGAGGTTTTCTTTGTCCGTTTGAAGCAAATTCATTTGAGCTCTGTTTCAAACATATTCTCCTCCTTTGTAACTTCACAGAGAAGGACAAAAAAAATTGGGAGGATTACAAACCTAATATATAATTTGCACATCTGAAAATGTGCTGCAGTCATTAAAGACTAATAAAATAAAGCAGATTAAAAGGATAGCTCCCTTAAAGATTGATCTTGGCTACCCAAGGTCAAAAGTAAATTATAAGTAATGCAGTCAAGAAGTTGGACGGCACTGACTGGATAAATGTCATAACTGAAACAAGCAGTAACTCAATTTTCTATATTTGAACATCTCATTATATTCCATGCCATTGAAAGACATATTAGGTTCCTGAGAGGTGACACAGAAGGTCTCCAGCTGAAAATCCAGCCCTTAATTATTTTGTGGAGGTTAATGTGCCTATAGGAGTGCAGTAGCTCGGACTTAACAGTGACTAATAGATTCTGATGGAAACGTATTTAATGGAAAATTAATAAAGCGGTACAGAATGGTCCTAGGTTTAAATATGAAGGCTTGGAACAATTGCAAGAAAAAGTAGGTCTCAAGTTCAAATGCCTCCTTTTGAAGAGTTCCATTGCTCAGGTGGTTGGCGTCTAGGTGAGAGGTCCAGCATCATGAGTAGTCTTTTGAACATTTACAGCAGTTTACAATGTGTGTTAACACACTCTCTGAAAAGGCTGTACATGTTGGTTTTCCATAGGGAAGGTCAGTGGATTAGTGGTAGAGCACAGCCTTTGCATGAAGAAGGTCTCAGATGCAGTCTAATATCTCTAGTTCTGAGAGGAGCCAGAACTGAGTTTCAGTGACTTCTGGCTGGGGAAAAAAGCCCTGATGTTAAGGCACTACATAGAAATAATATTTGCACAGGCTCTGTGTGCAGTGTGTGGCAGATTGAGAAGCCGAATCCTATTCACTATTGGAAGCTACCTTGTTGTTGTTGTTGTTGCTGCTGTTTAGTCGTTTAGTCGTGTCCGACTCTTCGTGACCCCATGGACCAGAGCACGCCAGGCACTCCTGTCTTCCACTGCCTCCCGCAGTTTGGTCAAACTCATGCTGGTAGCTTCAAGAACACTGTCCAACCATCTCGTCCTCTGTCGTCCCCTTCTCCTTGTGCCCTCCATCTTTCCCAACATCAGGGTCTTTTCCAGGGAGTCTTCTCTTCTCATGAGGTGGCCAAAGTATTGGAGCCTCAGCTTCAGGATCTGTCCTTCCAGTGAGCACTCAGGGCTGATTTCCTTCAGAATGGGTCGGTTTGATCTTCTTGCAGTCCATGGGACTCTCAAGAGTATCCTCCAGCACCATAATTCAAAAGCATCAATTCTTCAGTGATCAGCCTTCTTTATGGTCCAGCTCTCACTTCCATACATCACTACCGGGAAAACCATGGCTTTAACTATACGGACCTTTGTTGGCAAGGTGATGTCTCTGCTTTTTAAGATGCTGTCTAGGTTTGCCATCGCCTTTCTCCCAAGGAGCAGGCGTCTTTTAATTTCGTGGCTGCTGTCACCATCTGCAGTGATCATGGAGCACAAGAAGGTAAAATCTCTCACTGCCTCCATTTCTTCCCCTTCTATTTGCCAGGAGGTGATGGGACCAGTGGCCATGATCTTCGTTTGATGTTGAGTTTCAGACCATATTTTGCGCTCTCCTCTTTCACCCTCAATAAAAGGTTCTTTAATTCCTCCTCACTTTCTGCCATCAAGGTTGTGTCATCTGCATATCTGAGGTTGTTAATATTTCTTCCAGCAATCTTAATTCGGGCTAGGGATTCATCCAGCCCAGCCTTTCGCATGATGAATTCTGCATATAGGAAGCTACCTTATACTGAGCCAAACAATTGGTGTATCTAGTTCAGTATTGTCTACACTGACTGGGATTTGAGGCAGGAAATTTTCCTAGCCTTACCTCGAGAGACCAAGGATTGAACTTGGGACCTTCTGTGGGCAAGACAGATGCTCTTCCTCTGAGTTATGGCCCTTTCTCAGTATGTGTTCCTCTTCACACGTTCCCAAATACACAGCTGGGAAACCTTATGGAATGACGACAGTGCTGAACACCATGGCAACAACATTCTTTTTCCCTGCCAGCTAGGCAGTCTTTTTTCTCGTTTTCTTCTTTTTTTTAACAGCATACATGTCTTAGCATCAGCCGTCAGGGAGGCTGGCTCCTTCCGAGTTTCCGGGAGATAATCTTCTTACTCAAGGAGTTTACAAGAAGATTGTGTTAACATTTCGCATGACGCATTTGTCAATTTCCATCTTGAAATCTAGCCTGCATTTGCTAACATCCTCCTAGGAGCCACAGCTGGAATGAGCTTCAGTCCCATTTGAGCTAATTGGGCTATTGAAAGAGAAATTCGAAAAGCGTAAAGGGAATATCCCTATTGAAGTGTTCATGTGCATCTGTAGACGATTAAAGGAATAATGTGCAACAATGTTTATTTTAAAAACTGATAAATGGTGGAGGTCTGGCCATTTGCAACAAAAAAAGACCTGCTCAGAGCTCCCTGGAACACCACTTTTGTTGTCTGAGGCAGAGAAGCAAATCATGCCCTCCTTTCCTCAAGTCGAGGTTCACAGTACCCCAGGCCAAGTTTTCATGGCACATGAGCAGGGCTGGATTAAGAAAATAGGCATGTGCATCAAAGGAAGGGGAACAACACAGAAATTTTCCATTGCTGGATTTACCATGGACCATATGGTGCAGCTGAACCAAGTTCCACAAAAAAGGCTCCCACAATAAATGAAAAAAAAATCACATACATCTGCATACAATACTAATAACACAGCAATAAAAGAATAGTAATAATAGAGATGAATGATATATGGTTTCTTATTGTTTATATTTTGAATTAGATATATATGGGGGCACTAAAACATTTTAAGTGCTTAGGGCCTCTAAAAGTCCTGCACATGTGTCTGAAAATCCAGCATACGTCTCTCTTCCTCTTTGGTCCTGTTTGGAATCCCATCCCAAAGTGTTGTGGGCATGGGAAAGGACTGGTGGTGTCTCATTGCACGGTACCCTTATGTGAGGGAGGGAGGACCCCAGAAACAGACCAAGACCACCAGCTGCTGGCTTCCCAATGGGGCTCCTAAGCTTGCATGCTTTCTCACAGAACAGAAGCCCTGAGGCCTGGATTCAGCAGCTCCCAACCAGTGGCGAAGCTGCATGCTCCAGCACTGGGAGCGGAGAGTAGGTGGGGGCGTGGCCAGCATGCACACCTGGGGTGTGGTGTGCATCCTGGGGGTGTGGTGTGCCACCTGTGGGGGCGTGGTGCCTGGCGCAGTGAGAAGGTGTGTGGTGCGTGTCCAGGGGGGTAGCCGCAATGGTACCCCCTCCCCGATGGTGCCGGGGGCAGTGCGCTCCCCCCCATTCCTCCGCCAGTGCTCCCAGCAACACCTGCCACTCCACTCCCTAGCTGAATTGCACCATCTAGAAGAAGAAGAAGAGTTTGGATTTGATATCCCGCTTTATCACTACCCGAAGGAGCCTCAAAGTGGCTAACATTCTCCTTTCCCTTCCTTCCCCACAACAAACACTCTGAGGTAAGTGGGGCTGAGAGACTTCAGAGAAGTGTGACTAGCCCAAGGTCACCCAGCAGCTGCATGTGGAGGAGCGGAGACGCGAACCCGGTTCCCCAGATTACGAGTCCACCACTCTTAACCACTACACCACACTGGCTCTCTAGCTGGGTTGGTGGATTTAAATTTGGGCTGTTGTGGGGGCAGGCCTGCTACCAGCATGGGTGACAGCAAAGAGGGGAGCCGCTTCAGGGGAGAACAAGGGCAAGGGAAAAGAAGGACAGGGAGCTGGGGGGGGGATGCACTTTTCAACAGACCTGCTAGAACTGTGTCTGGTCTGTCCCTGTCCCCATATCCTTTCAGGGATTTTCAATGCAATTACCCAAATAATTATCATGGGATACAAGCAGGAATTACTTGCCATTCCACCCTATGTTCATCGCATGTGGAAATGTTTCCATTCTTCTGTGGTTAATCTTCCACCAAAAAGCTATATTATTAACCTCCCCGTCCTGCCCTTTACGTAATTCAGTACGTTAATTGCATTGCCATAACGTAATTCTACCCCATTCATTTCAGTGCAAAGGAAACACAGCACAAAGGTGTGGGAAAGTAACCATTTACACATTGTTTGTGGACTGAAATCAAGAAGAACAGCGAATGCCAGTTGCATTTGCTGGATTGATTTTCATTCCAGACAGGAGACAGATGAATGAACTCCTGTTTCTGTTCTTGTCAGAAATCTCTGATATCCCCAGATGTAGTTACAAGAAACTTGTGGCGATTGGGATCATATAAAAATCAGTGGTGAGGAACAAGGACCACCCAGTTTTCATTTGCCTATAGCTCTCACAAACCTAGACCATTGCCCATGCGGTCTGAGGTTGATGACAGTAAGAGCTCAGCAGCATACAACAATTGGAGACCTTCAGGTTCTCCATTCCTGGTGAAAGCATACCCCTCATTCTAGAGTCCTGATGTGCCAAATTAGTGCCTCTGTTTTCTCTCCACAAAGACACACAACGTCGGAATCAAGACAGCAAGTTAGTAATTGCTCGCTTGTTAGGTTTCCAATGTTAATTAGGGCCTAAGGGCTTCTGGCTGTAGATCTGAACAGCACAGCCCCTCTGAAAAACAAAGCATTGAACTTATATGGAAGGGGTGGGATGCAAAATTAATATGCATCCACAAACAGGGAAGGGCATGTAATTCACAAGAAAGGGAAAGAAGAGGGTGTTGCATTCTAGGGCACACATAAAAGGATGTGTTTAGGTCTTAATCTGAGCCTGAAGTCAACACATTTCAGACCTAGAAAATGTTTTAATTCCAGAGCTTCAATTAAATATGAGCTCACTCTTCCAGTTCTGTTTCTTTCCCATTCCATGGTTTTAGCACTGTCTTCCTTTTCTCCTGAATTTAACAAGGATACTGTCTGGAATTTGAGGCACAGGTAGACTGAAGCAGATTACACCTTCTTCCATTTATTTGCCTCTTTTTTGTAGCCCTGATAGCAGTGTGAGTGACCAATACAGGTGTGTGCTTTGATGAAATCCAAAGCAATACTGGTCAGACCTGTTTATTTCTTTATGTATGCTATGGAAACAACACAGAGATAAAATAAATGGGAAAGCAGAATAACAAGTATTGGGATAATATTTCAAGTATTAATTAAATATATGCTGCCAGCTGTGAATGTCAACAACTTGAGGATAGAATTATCCTAATAATTGCTGTGATTATGTTACTCCACAGCAACAATGCCATATTGATTAGAAGTTCTTGGGATGGAACTAATTGAATATTTCGGCAAATTCAACAGCAATTGCTCTAAGAAGCCAGTGGGAGCGCTTTGTGTTCATTTGAAAATATATTGCTGGGATGAAGACTGTTGCAAGCATAAATACTGGGCACAAATAAAGGGCACTATCAGGACTGAACTTTGGATAGTAGTCCATGGTGAGCCAAGGGCTGAGAACCAGGAGCCAAGCTCAAAGCCAGATGTCAGGAGAGAAAGTGAGACCCAAAGAACAAATAAGGAGAGTAAGTTAAGAAGCGAACCAAAAGTCAAGAATGAAAGCCATTCAAGGATACAGGAATGCACCTGAGTTCAGGTAGACCTTACAGCCCAAGCAGGCTTGGATGGTAAAGGAAGCCCCTTATACCCTTTCTTGCTCTTGGGGAAGCCAGTGGCCAACTTGAGTAGCTGGAATCTGAGGGTACTTCACTGAGAAGCTTCCACCTGCAATTCAGTGATTTCACCATGTGATGCAGCAAGACACAATCTCCATTGTCTTATACTTACAGACCAATAGATCTTGGATATGAACTTCATGTGTTGGTGGCTGTTGGGGAATTTGCTAAAGATTAAAAATATAGTGGTTCCTTACTTGGTCTGATCTGATCTAATTCTATGAACTGGTGTGTTGAAAGTTTTATTCACTATTTGCAGGATTCACTCTATACATCCTAGCTTTTCACAAGGACAGAAGTCATGTTAGCACCATCCAAAGCTTCTCCAAACACCTATAGATCACAAGAACATGGGAGAAGACACACACTTCCTTATATGGAAAAGTTGGTGCTTTGGATAGCCCATAGCTAATGACTTGTTTATGTATCAACCAACCAATCAATCAAAAAACAAACATAAGATCCATTGATAAGACATTTTCTGAAGAGCAATCAGTAAATTCCCCCTGGCTCAATTCATAGTTAATTTGGGCTTCCCAAGATCTCTCAGGCAGAGAGAAAGAGAAAAAAATCTGTATTTTCTGCTCTTGAAAACCAAAAACCAAATAACCATCGCAACTGATGCCCAACAACAACAGAAATCATGCCTGACTTCCCCCTGCCATCCATCTCTACTAATCCCTCCCATTCTCAAGGAAACTTGCCTTAGAGAAACCTGCTCCTTAGTAACAATGGAAGCCTTATATTGAAAGCCCAGAGAAGGCCTTTCAGGTTCTTTCCTTAAGAACTGAACACTAATAAGCAGGCTCAATGACATAACATCCCGTCAGGGTACATGGGATGTTGTTTTCTCTGCCTCCTGGGCACTCAGGTATCAAATACGGTTTAGTATGGCTGGGAAGCCATCCCCCACCATCCAATTCAGGACTTGATTTGGGACTGCAGATTTGCTCAAACCTAGACCAATCTGAGGTTGACCTAATCTAGATCTGGGCTCTGAACTGATTTAAACATTAAACATGCAGTTGGAAGGGGGGGAGGTGACGCTACCTCTCCTCCCATCCCTCCCTACCGCACTGCAGAGAGCAAGATTAAAATGTTTGCTCACCGCATGGTTCAGTCCTGTTCTACAAATGCATCCCCCCTGTTGTGAAAAGTCTCGCACAGCCAAATTGCAATGTGGGGCTGTTTGAATGTCCTCTTCAGGTACAGCCCTGACTCTTAAGTTCACTTGTTTTTCCTTCAACTCGATCATAGACAGAATTGAC